CATCCTGCAATCCTATTGGCCAGCTTCGCAGGTTGCTTGTAGCATGTATAGGACTCCCATGCACAGGTAGAACACGTGGATTGTTGTCCATGAGCGCTCAGACGGCCTTCAGTATTAATGTCGTCCACTTCTAAAATCCCGCAATCCTATTGGTCAGTTTCATATATTGCCTGTAGCAAACGTCTGGTTCATTTGTTCTCGGAACAAAGTAGATGTCGACATTCCTCTGGGTCTCAGGAAGCATTGTGGAAAGTTTCACGCCGATAGCTACTACAGAGGCTGAATGCATAGCGAACAAACAAACAAACAGACAAACTTTCTTCTTTATATATATAGAAGATATAACTTTCCCTATCTATTCCTTTATTTATATTCGTGTGTATTTATGTTTATTTCTTCATTTATATCATAAGTCGGCTTACGCAGCTACTCCACTATATAGTAACTTATTTGTAGTTATGCTTATTGTTATAAGTTACAGAAAACATGTGAAATTACTTCTTACATAAAAGATGTCCAGTTATGCAGATTATGTCAGAATTTCGGTGTTCGTTAATCTATTTTGTTTTATTTCAGCTGAAGCATCTTATGCTCAACAACGGATATATATTGATCAAATAATTCGATTTTCTGAAGAAATATCTGTTTATAATATTCCATTAGTATACCGCGTTAAATCTTCATCGGATACAAATCCAATTTCAATTAATCATTTAAAACAAGTTTTTGATATTTTAATTAATAAACATTCAATTCTTCGGACATCGTATCATTTCGATAGAAATAATGGTATTTTAATGCAAAATATTGAAGAATTCAGCTCCAAAAAACATTATGAATTTCAAATTAGTTATATTGAAAATAGTGAAGAAATGAAAAATATATTCAATAATGAAATAACAAATTCAAATTTATTTGATCTTAATCAAGGAATTGTTTTTCGATGTCACTTTATTATTAATTCAAATAAAAATTTAAGAAAGAATCAAGAAATTAATTTAGAATTAAATGATATTCTTATTTTTAATTTTCATCATATTGCTTTTGATGGCGCTTCAAGACGAGTATTCTTTTCTGATTTTGAACAAATACTAAAAACAAATAAATTAATAACTAATAATAAATTTCAATATATTGATTATTCAATCTATGAAAAACAGCTTGATATGAAATTATCCGAACAATTTTGGCAATCTCATCTTGAAGAATGCAATATTCAACGTCCCTTATTATTACCATATGATCGGCATAATTCCTTAAATAAACAACATACAGGTTATGCTCATCTTATAGAAATACCATTTAATAGGAATTTAATTGATTCATTTATAAATTATTCTTCAAAATATGATATAACGTTATATCAATTGAGTCTTTCAATATTTTATTTATTTTTATTTCAATTATGTAATCATCAAAATGACATTTGTATTTCTTGTATTTATGCTAATCGATATATAAAAATATTACAAGATTTAATTGGAATGTTTGTTCTAAATACAGTGGACAAACAAAGTTTCTACGTACTACGTGTACTTGAAAAGAACAGATGCTCACAGCTGTGCTATTTTCTCATAAAAAAAACATCGATTTTATGAGTNATATTGATGACATATTAAGCAAACATCGTTCTATTTCAGTCAATTCAATTCTTTGTCCATGAAGTTTAACTTGATGATCTTTTCGACTATTATAACGAATTAAACCATTAGATTCTATTTGAACAAGATCTCCTGTGCGATAAAATATATTATTATCGATAACTATTAATGATTTATGAGTTATATCATCACGTTTAAGATATCCCGGAAAAACACCGACACCTCCAACAAGTAGTTCTCCTTCACATCCAATATTTACATTTTGTAAATGTTCATCTATAATTAACCATTGATAATTAGGAAGAAAATGACCGATTGGAATATTATTTCCATGTTCTTTATAGAAATCAATTAAATAACAACAACAATTGACGGTAATTTCTGCTGGACCATAATGATTACGGATTTGACATTCTTTTGTAACGACACTTTTTAACAGATTAGCTAATTTAACACTGAGAGTTTCACCTAAGAAGAAAAAAATATTTAAAAAATATAATTCGAATGTGAATATTATTTATTTTTCTTTATTATACGACAGTAACTTATTTTATCGCGTGGTGAATAACATCCAAATTTGACTGATTTACCCATGTCAAAAAAGCTGTGAAAATGGGATTTTATACGAGAAATCTGATGAAAAATGGATTTAAATGACACGATTTAAATAGCTTGACTATTAGTTAAGTTGAAATAATAAATTAAAATCGATTAAGTTCTGATATAAAATAAATTTTAATCAATTTTATTTCAACTTAGTTGATTGCCAAGCTATTTAAATCGTGTCATTTAAATCCACTTTTCATCAGATTTCTCATATAAAATGAAATTTTTATAACCTTTTTTATATGGGTAGGAGTGAAGCCTGATTTCGACTAAAATCAGATTTATTGTCAAATTTCCCATGTGAGTACTTTGATCGCTATCATTATAAATAAAATTCTAAAAGTTAAGATAAACATGAGTACTCACCACCACTACATAATGAACGTAACCATTGTACTGATGACATACGATTATTTTCTTTAAGAAAAGTAAATAAACTATTTAATAACGAAGGAACACAATGCACAACAGTAATTTGTTTGTCGTAAAGAATCTTTGAAAGATAATTAAGATCCATATTTCCTTCTGGTCGAAGCATAATTAATGTTGCTCCAATAGTTAACGTACCAATAAGACTTAAAAGATGATTATCAAATGTACAACGAGCCATTTGTATTATATTATCAGATTTTCGTATTATATCAACATGTAAAAATGATTTTATAAATTCAGTAAAATTTCGATGACTTATTTGAACCTTTAAGAAAATTACCAAAAGTCAAACACGATATATTTCGATCAAAATTATATACGAACTGCTTTTGGTATTCCTGTTGAACCACTTGTAAATATTGTGAATGCTATATTGTCTCTATTGATGTTTAGTTTTGAAAATTTATCAAAACTTTCATTCATATTAATCTCATTATTATTTAAAATAATTGTATCAACATTCATTTTAAGAGCAGTTACCTCGAATCGATTAGATATTCGAGTATCTGTTAGAACTAATCGACTTTGAGTTTGATTAACAAGATTTTCTAAGTGTTTTGGAGGATCTTGAAACGTGATGATATAACTCATAAATCATTAATAGTTATCGATAATAATATATTTTATCGCACAGGAGATCTTGTTCAAATAGAATCTAATGGTTTAATTCGTTATAATAGTCGAAAAGATCATCAAGTTAAACTTCATGGACAAAGAATTGAATTGACTGAAATAGAACGATGTTTGCTTAATATGTCATCAATATCATCATGTATTGTTATCAAATGGAACAATGATCATTTAGTTGCATACGTACAAACTGATAATGATGATGTGGAATATTTTCGTGAACATTGTCGTTCTCATTTACCATCATTGATGGTTCCTTCAATATTTATTGTAGTTAAACAATTTCCATTAAGTACAAATGGAAAAATTGATCGAAAACGTCTTCCTCAGCCAGATTCATCATTATTAACTAATTTATCAACATCATTAAATGAGATGAAACGTCCTGAAAATGATTTTGAAGAATGTATACATAATATTTGGTCTAAAATTCTTCGATATGATGGAAGGAAAATATCAACAAAGGCAAATTTTTTCACAATAGGTGGTCATTCTCTTTTATTTATTGAACTTTATAACATTTATCAATTAACATTTGATTTTGATAGTCATATCATTTCTATAAGTTCGTTTCTTCAACAACCAACTATAATTGACCACTGTCAATTACTTCGGTCTATTACAAATAACAAAATTCAATCAAACAAATGGCATTCTTTACATATTAATCAAGGTCAGTCACATTTCAAAATCATAGTTAAAAACTGTCATTATGATCTCTTATAAATACATTGAATTTCGAGGCAGACAAGCAATGAAAAATACGACATTACTACGCGTAAAGATGTATATTTCCTACGTTTGAAAAAAATTTATTCTAAAAGGAAAGTGATGAAAACATACTTTATTTCTAACAGCTAGACTTTCTCTACAACAGTCTTTTTTTTTCAAGCGTAAAAGGCGCACATTTTTACGCTTAGAAACGCCGTATTTTTCATTATTTGTGTACTTGGGTTGTTTCTGTTCTATTTTTCATACTTCGTAAAAATTTCGTAAAACGAGTTTAATTTTCCCTGTCCATTTTCTGAAAACAAATGGGAGTGATCATAATCACAATGCTCTAACTGTAAAATAGTTTTTTGAAAATAAATTTGGTTTTAGGCATAGCATCATTTGCTCAAGAACGAATTTATGTTGATGAAAATATTCGTTTTTCAAATAAAATCGCAATTTATAATGAATTAACAGCATTACGAATTATTGAAGGATCAATATCATTAGATCGTCTATCAAAAGCTCTTCGATATGTTTTAAGTAAACATAAAATACTGCGTACAGCTCTCAAATTCTGTAATGATAATAGTATTTTAAAACAATATATTACTGATAAACATGAAGTATTTGAACCAATAACTGATGGAATATATAATGATGAAAAAGAACTTCAAGATATTATTCATCGAACGGTAACCAACCCATGTTTGTTTAATTTGTCAACTGGCCACGTTTTCTGTTGTCAAATTCTTCGACAAAAAACGATATTCGATAATGAAAAGCAGGACAGCAAATTTATTAAAAATTCTGACATCCTTATATTAGGATTTCATCATATAGCAACCGATCGGACGTCCCATCAAATCTTCTTACGTGATTTATGTTTTGCATATAATACAGATGTGGCCTGGGTAGAAGATGAAGAAGCTTTACAGTACATTGATTATTCTAGTCATGAACGTTTAATTAATTTCAAACCATCGTGTGATTTCTGGCGTTTGGAATTTAAAGAGTATAATTTCGATCATCGACTGTCATTACCATTTGATCAACATCGTCTACTTAATGATAAAAGATCTGGTTTCGGTTCTAGCGCTGAAATATCTTTTAATAGAGAAACATCAGCATCATTTTTAAATCATGCAATTACACACAAAATTACGCCGTTTCAACTTGGTTTAGCTGTGTTTTATATCTTTCTTTTCAAGTTAAGCAATGACGAAGCTGACCTGAGTATTGCCTGCCTTAATGTTAATCGATATAAAACTGAATTACAAAATATGATGGGAATGTTTATCACAACACTGCCATATCGTCTTCAATTTTCCACTGATTGGTCTTTTAGTAAATTTGTTGAACAAGTCAAGAAAAAGTGTTTATCAATTTTCGAACATTCTCATTATCCATTACAAAATATTATTAATGATTTTCATTTAAGTCAATCAGGTATTCCCTTTTTTCAAACAGCTTTTGACTTTATTACTACGACTTCAACTACTAATCAATTTTCTTTTGATAATGTTACATTAAAATCATCAATTTCAGAGAAATTAGTTCAAATAGCTAAATTTGATTTCATGGTAACATTTGTCTATAACTCAATATTAGATGATAATACTCTATCATGCAAATTTATTTGTTCAAATGACTTATTCAGAAATGCAACAGTTGCAAAATTTGCTGAAAGATTCGAGCATCTTTTTGAACAAATTTTCCACACCGATTCTAGTGTTAATCGAGATGACTTATTAGCTTCTTATATAACTCAATTTAGCCTTGTCTTACCGGAAGAAATCAATGAAATTGAAGATATTGTTTTCTGCCGGCAGTTGGATATCATTAACGAAGGTATGTCTTTCTTTTGAATGCGTCACGCGTTTCAACAAATTCTACTATTAAACAGCACCAGCTTCCTATGCTCAATCTCGTATTTGGCTTGATGAACAAATTCGTTTTGATTCAAAAACTTCTCAAGTAGCCATATACAATATGCCTTTTCTCCACCGGATCTCATCAAATGGTTTTCTACTAGCTTCCAGACTTCACCAAGCAATTCAACTTGTTATTAGGAAACATCAAGCCCTTCGGACAGCCTTGTACTTTGATACAGAAAAAAATACTTTAATTCAACATGTTAAGGAATTGAATAATATTAACCATGATGAGCTATTTACATTTGTTGAAAGCACATTTGAAACGAACGAAGATCTTCTTAAAATTATGCATAATGAACGAGGAAATCCAAACTATTTTAATTTATCTAAAGGGATTGTCTGTCGGTGTCATATTGTATATTATAAAGAAATATGTCGTAACGGAATGATTTCTGATAAGGATGCAATTATTTTCAATTTTCATCATGCTTTATTTGATTTCCCATCGATGAATATATTCCATCGTGATCTTGATCAAGCATATACGAATGGTCATTTGGAAAATGATCAGAGCACAACCTTGCGCTACATTGATTGTATATTAAATACTATTAGATTTTTAAATATATTTTTAACATTGTCCTTCTGCTTTCTATTTTAGTTTCAATTGTCGAACAGCGAATGCCTATGGTAGCAGCCAGTAACTTTTGGCTTGATACTCTTCGAAATTTCATAATAGATCGTCCTTTATCACTACCATTTGATCGACATCGTCTGCCCGATGAGCATCGCACTGGCCGCGGCATATCAGTTTCATTTCGATTTGAGAAAGATCTTTCAGGTGCCTTTATTACTTATGCTTCAGTAAATAATATCCAACTGGAACACTTGGCACTTGCTTCGTATTTTATATTCTTATTTAAATTAACAAATAGTGAAGATGATATATGCATCGTTATGAACCATCATGGTCGCTGTAAACCTGAGCTAATGTCAATTATTGGAATGTTTGTCAATGCGATTCCAATGAGATGCAAAATAAATTCCCAACATTCTATTCAAGAATTTGCGAATTATTTAAAAGAACGAGTAACGCAGACTATAGAATACTCTTATTTTCCTCTTCAACGTATTCTTGCTCAACATCCGCTCAATGTCCGCCCTGCATTTCTCGATACATTCTTTCAGTTCAGTTCTATATCAAATGAAATAAGTGACACAAAAGTCTCAATCAATGATATTTCTATCATAACAATGCCTTATTCAATCCAAATCGATGACGCTGAAATCGCGAGTAAATTTGACTTTTCTCTGAATATTCTATATAATCCAGTAACTAATCAATTATCATGCACCCTTGATGCCTCCACTGACTTATTCAATGAATTAACAATTATTAAGATGTCACAACAGTTTCATGGTTTACTTCAGCAGCTTCTAACATCAAATACAAACGATCAATGTCATCAATCAATCTGTGAAACATCATTATTATTATCTGATGACAGAATGCTTATTCAATCGATGAATAATACACAAACATCCTATTCTTGTTCAACTTGTATTTATCATGAATTTGTTTGTCGAGTGATGGCACATCCGCAGAAATTATCTGTGGAACTTGATGATCAATGTTTGACCTACTGTGAATTGTTATATTATGTTCAATTGTTGTCTATT